ATTTTTATAAGGTGTAAGACTATTCGGCAATATTCCGCATGGAAATTAGTATCCGTTCAATGCTTAAAGTCTCCAGCATTGGAATATGCACAAAAATCTTGCCAATATTTGCCACTGCCAAAAAAAACATTGATTTAAATAGATTCTTAAAGGAAATAGTCTTTACCCTATTAACACCCATCCTCGCTCAAATATCGTCTATAATATACAAATTACTTTCTTGTTCTAGCATCCTCATCCAATTGCTTGGTTTTGCACAGAATGGCCCTATTTGATCGGTGGAAAGGGTTTCAGAGTAGAGGAAAAAATATTGTGTAGGAAAAACAAAATGGGGTTCCATATTAGCAACCTCTCCTCTAATTAATAATTAATATTACTAGCAAAAAAGCAAAAAAATCATAAAACATAATTTTGGCCAACTTTTAGTTCTTAATACCCCCTGTGCGCCGTCGGCGCGTGCAAAAGCAGAAATAAATAAATTTTCGTTCCGGTAAAAGCGAGAACGCCGATGAACGCTGGTTGACGGTGCCTGCCTGCTTTCACTGTGAACTAGCCGATTTGATAACACGCTTTAATTTTTCAAGGTTATAAGCGCGAGGCGGCGCGGCGCGGCGCTACTATGTAACCATATACAGGGTGTCCCAGAAATAAGTGCAAGTATTTTAACTTAACTGGTAGTATAGTTCAACCCCAGAAACACGCCTATGAGGTTTTTTTCTAAATAATTTTTTTTTGAAAATTCAGAATTTTTTGAAAATATTTTTGGAATTTTTTTGTAATTTTTTTTAGTTTTTATTTAAAAAAAATAATTTCTTGATAATATGGCAACATAGGTAGTAGATTAAATTTACAAGAAAGAAAATCCAGAAAAGATCCAGTGGTTCTCAAACAAATCTCGTCGTTTTATTGACTACAATAAAACGACGGAAAGCAGCATATTTTGGTCATATTTTTCGAAATAACAATTATAGTTTCCTACAGCTGATCGTTGAGGGAAAGATTGAAGGACGACGAGGCATCGGGCGTAAACGGTTTTCCTGGTTGCGGAATTTGCGCCAGTGGTTTAATATAGGAGAGGCCAGTGCAATTATCCGTTTGGCTCAAGACAGGGAGGAATTCCAATTGATGGTCGCCAACCTCCGATGAGGAGAAGGCACATGAAGAAGAAGGTTCTCAAAATTTTAGCAAAAACTATTTTTTTTTGCAAATTTTCAAAGTAAAATAACTCCATTATTTTGGACTTATTTGAAAAACGATAAAGAGAAAATATGTTTCTTTTATCGAGATCTACCACCCTTTAAAATACTTGCACTTATTTCTGGGATACCCTGTTTATAACAATACACGTGATGCGTATACGCAAAGTTGCGAACGATGTCAAGAATAGGTGCCCAGATTGGCGCTGACTACCAGTAAGCGGCAAACCTGCTTGCACTGTGTTCGCACACATACAGTAATTTCAACAAATGATATAAAAAACTAGTTTTTTTACGTAAAACAGGTGCTCTTCGTTTATTTCGAAAAGGTGAACGGTTTTCAAGATATTTGCGTTTAAAGATTACGATGCATCGATTTTAGTATTAGTGAAATGATACAATGTAAAGAAATTTTAAATAAATTAATCTCCTGATTTGTTAATGCTAAAATCAATGCATCGGAACTTTAAACGAAAAATATTTTGAAAACCGTTCATCGGGTATCGAACTAAACAAAGAGCACCTTTTTTACATAAAAAAAATCCTAACTTTAACATATACTATTATACACTATTTTTTGACGCCCTGTACAGGGTGGCGCCTCCCATACGCCGCGGAAGGTCCGAGGTGAACTGTAGTTTATATCAAAATGAAATTTTGGCAGCATATGTAGGTTAACTTAAAGCATTTTATAAACATATATAGACTTATACAGGGTGTCCCCAAAAGAAAGTTACACATCAAAGTTGTGTTTTTTCTAATGGAACGCCCTATATATTAATAGATTTTCGTTGGTGAGTTTTATTAGAGAAGCATATACCTAAAATCTAAGGATTTTGACATATTTCACATTTTGCAAAAATGAAGAGTAAATTTTAAATTTCGATAACAACTATCTAAATTTTAGTTGACATTGTATAGCCTGATATTTAATTACAGTAACCATTGTATATTAAACCAAATTGAAATTTGACCTGAAAAGTTATACAGGGTGAGGCAAAATTAATATGGAACATTAGGCACATTTAAAAGCAACTTACTCTTTTATTTTAAATGGAACACCCAGTATATTTTTACGGTGTTCAACGGGGATTTATATATCTTCAAAATATTATTAACACAGATAACATATAATTTATTATGTTATCTGTGTTTTTTAATTATTTAAAGTTAACATATAATTAATATATAATAATTATAATATATTATAATATAATAATTATAATATATTAAATTAACATATAATTTATTATGTTATCTGATTATGTTATCTGTGTTATTAAGGTTGCCTAACCTAACTTAACCTAACCTAACCCCCCAGACAAAGATTTACCCAAAGATTTACCCAGATATTTTAATTTTTTATTATTTTGCGTCCGTAAATCTTTATTATTTGAAAAAATCTAGGTGGCTGTGTGATATGCCTTTTGTTAATTTAACAAGAATTAAAGATTGTAGAGTAAAATATTCAAGAGTAATAAAAAGATACGTTTAAAACATATTTTAATTACAGAATTAAAACTAGATATAAACCTATAATTATGCGACAAAAATTAGCTAGATGAAATCAAATGCTCAAAATGCTTCCTTCCCTGTTAACTGCATAAAATGATGTCTTTTCAAAAGGACTTTTCATTTTAAAACGCATAGTGGATTTCTACCTCGAAAAACAGCTACAATAATTTCTCTCATGTTGTCGACACTAGTTGGTCGAGTTTTGTAAACACTGTCTTTAACACATCCCCATAAAAAACTAGACTAGATAAAATGGAGAAAACTAGACTAGATAAAAAAAGGAGCATTTAAGTATTCTATTAATTGGTGAATGCACACTGCATTCACCAACTAATATAATCATATCAATTCTGTTTGATGTAATTTAATTTATTTAATCATCATAAAGGTTTATAAAAGATGAAATATCTGAGAATTTTTTTTGTTTTAACTGACACAAAATGATAACTAGTTGTTAAGTTGGACTAATTAGACAGCTATGTTGAAGTAATGTTAGACCATATTCCAGCCATCTAGATTTTATCAAATAATAAAGATCTACTCAGATCAAATCATGTAAATGAAAATATCTAGGAAAATCTTTGTTTGAGGGGTAGGCAACCTTGATAGTGTTTCGAAGAGACATGAATTCTCCATTGAATATCAGAATAATATACTGGGTGTTCCATTTAAAATAAAAAAGCAACATGCTTTTATGCATGCTGCTAATGTTCAATATTAATTTTGTCTCTACCTGTATAACTTTTTGGATCAAGTTTTAATTTGATTTAAAGTACCATAGTTAATTTAACTACATATTAGGCTATACCGGGTAAATTCTAATTTAGGTAGATTTTATTGTAACTTACAAATTGTTCTTTATTTCTAGAAAATGTTACATATCTCAAAAACCTTACATTTTAGTCATATACTTCTCTGATAAAACTTACTTTTATTTTTCTCCCAGAATCCGAAAATCGATTAATGTATAGAGTGTTCCGTTACAAAAAACACAACTTTGACATGTAACTTTTTTTGGGGACACCCTGTAGAACTCTTTTTATTTTTTAAAAGTGCTCTGAATTAACCTACATATGCTCACAACATTTCATTTCTATACAAACTGTCGTTCTCCTTGGAGCCTCCACGGCGTATTTTGGGCTCCACCCTGTATATGGTTAAAAAATAACTATATGTATACATACCTAAATACATTAAATGCATATTTTGTTATTATAACAATTATGGTCTAATTTATATCTATCAATTAAATTAATTATATGTATGTAGTATATTATTCTAAAATCAATGCCAACAAATTAATTATATACTTTGTTATTTATGCGATAGAGAATTCTGATCAGAGAATTTGTTGATAATATTCCTATTTCAAGGAATTGTTAAGAATAGATACATATTTTATAATGATTTGTTTGTTTTTTATACCGAACGAATAATAATTAAACGTATGTAGTTATATGTAAATGTTCTAATTAAATGTTTTTAATGGCTGATGTTGTTTATAGTAATTTGTTTCCAGAGAAAATATTTATTATTCGTTTTTACATTATCCCTTACATTTTTCAATAGAATGTGTTTTTAGAGTTTACAATAGTCTTTCAATAGTGGCCCATCCCAATAACATTTTTATTTTTTTTTTTGAGATAAAAAAACGAGATTTGGTATGTTACTATATGATATAAATCTGGCTTGATTGACGCATTCAATTATTTTCGGTCACTTCCTGTTTCATCGGAAATAACAACAACTGTTGATTTTTCCTCGGTATTTTTTAATTTATTTGATAGAAAATGATATAATGTATGAATGTCAAAAGTTGACATATCATGGTCATCATAGATACGTCAACTTTTGACATTTTCAACTAAAAAAAATTGTATTTTAAATTTTATTTTAAAGTGCCATGGCTGTGTTATAACCACTAATTTTTAATCAAGTGGTCTTGGATAAATATATTTGATCGTCTAATGTTTTTTGTGTCTTTCTGGTTGGTTAAAAGATGACCAAATCCTATTTTTGTAGGCTTGGAATACACGAAAAATTTGTTATGTAATTATTCTAAAAACGTTAAGAAGTATAATTTGTTTTAATTTTTATCTAAAAAAACAGTTATAGAGACGAGCCACTTTTGAAAAACACCCGGTATAACTAATCTCGTAAAATTAATAATAAAAGTAAGTTAAGTTAATAATGTAACATTTTGTAGCGAGACTAGCGAGACTATTCGGATAATTAAGTATTGTATAGCATAAATAAAAACTTATTTTTAATTTAGTTTTACTGTTTCAGCAATGAAGCTATTATCACTACTAATCTTCACAGTAGGAATCGTTTATGGTCAGGACGATTTAGAAAAGGCGATAAGTGACATTTATGGAGATTCCAAGAACGTTTCAAGAAATCCATTTGAAAATTTAGTAGAAGTGACATCTCCGCCGCCTGGAAGCATAACAGCTTTGGAAAGATGCGGAGAAGGTAGCGACGAAGGCATTCATATGTGCGTGGAATATTTTAGATGCGATGGAGTTACGAAAATGATTATAAAAGAAGGACGAACAGATGGTTTTGGTCTCATCGATATCAGGTAATTATCGTATGTAGAATGTTTAAGAGGGGTGTTAATCACCGCGATCTTACAGATCTATTGTGTGTTCCCCTTTCTTGAGTTAGAATTCATCATACAGTCTCAGGGCTTTGACAAAAGCCAGTATCTGAGAGGGCACACAGAGGCCAGCTCTCCATCTCCGACATCAGTCGTACCAAAGTTTATGGAACGAAAGGTTGACTCGCTGCACTCAGTGATAAGGCTTCTAGTGTTTCGTCATTTTCCTAACAGAATCTGCATTCGCCGTTGTTTCACTTCGCTCAGCTTCAATCTACTGAGGTGTTCGTTAAGACAAGGAAGATCTTTGACAGTTATCGTATAGTTCGATTTAAAATGATCGTGATTTACGTTTTTTTAAATAGTCCATCGATTAAATTAAATTAGATTTTTTGAAGTGGCTATTACTCTGTTCTACTGTGAGCTTTACAGATCTCTACTACAAAACCTCTTATAGTCGGCCACTTTAATCTTTTCAGATCTATTGTGGTCTTCTTTTGATGTTTTGGTTATTTCCAGTCGTATCCTTTTGAAAAAGTGTAAGAACTTGGAGACAGACCCTTTTATAGAGCTCTTTGACAATCGCTTATTATTGCAATTAGTAGAAAGAATCCCCATTTGCTATCAAGCTATCGCACTGACATAGACTGTGCTCTGGCGTTTCATCTTCTGATTGGTAAAACTGCACATGATTTTGTTGTTGGTCGTCAATCCCATCATCTCTAAATGCCTCTTAAGCTTACAATGCTCTGTTAGTACAACCACTATAGTTTTGGCAGTTTTCTGTCTTTGCTTATCAGGAATTCCGATTTCGCCTGCCTTTGGCTTGGTGAAAATTTCCACCATTTAAGATAGTTATTAATCAGTCTTAGCACCACCGCAGAAGGAGTTTGGACGTATGAATGACATTAATGAGCCTTGTTTAGCCATTTGATTTGCTTTTTAATTGCCTTTGTGTCCTTCGTGTCCCGATACCCAGGCTAACGCAATATTGCTACACTCCATCAATATATTTAGGGCACGCACACATGCATCTATGGAACATTTGGATTTATTTGTTCTTTCTGTCAGTTTCAATTTTTTCTTCAGCTTCTTTATATTTTCCATGTAAATAATGATGTTTTCGTTGCAGTATTGAAGCTTAGGACAAGTTTATGGATTATCAGTATGCCCATGCAGGCTTTGTTATATTGGACTTTAATATCTTGACGTGCTAAGTCATGTTTTATGTTATCCCAGCCGGGCTTCAAGTGGCTCATTCATTCAAAATTATATAAATACAGTTTATTTCCTTCATTAGGGGGAAACTCTTTTTCTTAAAGTTGTTGCTGCCTTAAATGCCGTAGAAAATTGAATAAAGATACCAACGTTTAACGGTATCTTTATTCAATTTTCTGAGTTTTTTTTCTTTATGAAATGCAATAAATGTTTTTTTTCAGTCTGTGTTTGAAGACTCTGCTTTCATTAATGATGGGTGGGTGGACGATGTTTTGTGCCTGTTATTTTTTTCAACCACTCTGCCAACGTATGCATTCTGTTTTAGACCCTTCTTGTTTTAAAAGCTCCTCGTCATTATTAAGTCATGGCTTCGGCAACATTAAAGAGTGCCAAACAACAAAGTTTTAAGCAAAACAAAGTTAAAAATAGCTCAAACTAGCCCATTATCATTCACATAATTTTACGTGTGTGTAATGCGACTTATTTCGGCGAGATCAAGATATACAACCAAAACAATGTCAACGAACATCAAAAAATCTATCAACAATAGATAACCAGAAATCTTGTATTGCCAAACATGTATGGAGCAATCAGCTCTGAATACTGTACACAGTGGTCAGAAGATGGTTACGAAAGACGTTTCCTTTCATAAGCTTTTCTGTGACTGAAAAGCCCGATACTTGATGTTATCTTTCTTCCTCACTCCAGACATTCAAAAATCTCATTACTTTGTTGTCTCTTTACTTTTTGGTTATCATTGTTAACTGGGTTAACTTACAATTCTTTTCCATTGCCTTCTATTGTGCAGCTGCGTCTTCCCACTGATTTTACCTGTAAGTTTTCGTGGAAAATATCCTTGTACCTTTTGAGTCATTCACCCGGTTTCCTCTTACCGTCTACAAGCTTACCGTAAAGAACAGATTTTGGTTGGCTTTGGTTTCTTGCATCCTTGCATACGTGACCAGCCCATCTTAAGCGGGATGTAACCAGGTTTTTTAAGACTGACTATTACATGACTAACGTTCTTGTAGCCAGGTTTTTCAAGGACTGATACGTTTGAGACATGGTGGAACCATTTGATTCTTAAGAGTTCTCCAAGGTTTCTCTGTTGCAACTTTGTTGTTGTTGTTTAATACGTTCATGTGCCGGCGCGGCGGTACCAGGTTTCGCTTCCATCATGGTGGGGATGCTTCCATATAAATCAAATACGTTTTAATAAAATATACGGAGAGTACCGCTTAAATTCCTGTCCCGATGTTGAAGGATGGCTATAGAATGTCAATGCATTTCCTACATAAGTCTATCCTTGTTCGGGAGGAGGTTTTCTGCGCTTGCTCGATCTGTAAGCACTTTGATTGGACAGTTCCAAATCATATGATATGTTTTGTTTTGGTTTTATTTATTTTAAGTTGAGGTTAAAGACGTTCTAATGATTGAATTAAATCTTTCGAAAAATTGGAAGTTTTTGTTAAATATTCTGAAATCAAATAAGTTTGATAATGTAACATTATGCGCATATTTATCAATTGAGATATTTTAATCGTATCCAACATGTTATGGCAAAACACTTTTTCAACCAAAAGTTTTCAGATATCTTCGATTTAGTTATTTTCGAATGTTTATTTTGTTTATATCTATTACAAACTCAAGGAGCAACAGTTTTTTACAAGTAGTGTTAATTTTGATGCTGGTGCAATACTTCTACTCGTTAAAATAAGTTTATTATAAATATTACAGACATTTAAAAAAATAGGCTATGGAATAGGTATATAAAAATTATTTTATATCTGTCTCACAATGGGGGGCTCCTAGTAGCGTAATAGGTATCTGCAGTGCGATTCTGTAAACATTTCCCTGTCTAGTGACTCATCAATCGTATACAAATAGCATAGGCTCGATAGGAAATTTCTTGCTACAGAGCTTACAGAATCCCATTGCTGATTTCTAAAATTCTTTTTCTAGATAGGCTTCCGCATCGTAAAAACTCCTATTTTATGGTATGTAATTAGTATTCTGAAGGTATTAAAATATTTTAATATCAATATAGTTTTTTCACTGAAACTCGAGTTAAATCTTAATATACATTATTCATATTGTCGTTTTAGAGATTGTGCTTTTATACTTACTATTATGAAAATTTACTGAATAAAATATATAGTTGCAATCCTTTTACTGAACTCCTTAATTTCTTGTTTTATGAGGGGATAATTTTTGCTTATTTAGGTACTAATTTTAATCAGACCATTTTTTAATGAACTCATTTATATTTATATCATATCGTTCTAAGTAGACTTTGTTGTGTTAGACAATTATTATTAAATAAAACGAATGAAAAAAAGTGACAGGTACGATATTTTTTTTTTAAATTCAAAAAATAATTTAGTAAAACCACAATTATTAAGAAATTGTCTTAAAAACTTCGTAGTACAAATTGCATATCTATTTCACTTTTTTTAAAATTCAAAAAATAATTTAGTAAAACCTCAATTAAGGAACTGTCTTAAGAACTTAGTATTACAAATTGCATATCTATTTCACTCGACTTAAAAATTGCAGCAAAACAAAGTATAACAGTACATTTTTTACTGTCTATTGTTTCTTTTACTGCCCATGTATTTATGATCAATAATCAACATCAGTCCTGGTTTAAAATGAAACAAAAGTAATTCTTTATTATTAACATATTTTTTATTAAACAAATATAACTAAAAGTATGTACATATTAAGTTTATACAAAAAATATAATTATTTACATTGTTGCATTGTAAATACTCTTTTATATTATGAAAAATAAACAATAATAATTTACAATAAGACAGTTTGTGTGTAACTGTGTAAGCATTATAATTAGCCTTATGTAGTCTCTATTTTTAGTCTTTACATTATAATGTCTTTTTTATTTTAAAATAGTAAGACTAAATATAATGCATTTAACAATTATTGATTTTTGAATAAAATTAGTTTAGTATATTTTTGTCTTATATTAACATCCCTTTCATTTCTGAATTTGCTTTCATGATACAAACGAACATCGAGAAAAATTTCTATTATTAATTTGGTTAGTTGGCTTCTACCACACAAGAAGCAGTAGCCCATTCCCATTGTTCTATTAATTAAACTACGGCAAAAGTCTTTAAAACTAATTCACAAAATTGTCAATAAACGCACAAAGATTAAAATACAAACGAAAACACAGTACACGTGGAAAACAGAAAGTTAGAGAAAATTCTAATGGCGACTGCCCAAGTCCAAACTGAAAACAAAATCCAGGCCGACGACGCGTCCAAAAATAAATCGATAACCCATCTCGACACCATTCGGCTAATAGAAAAGTAGCATTTCGGCGCATGTGCATTACATCCATCTACTGAACAAGGATGGACTTATGTCAAACTCGATCTTCTGTCCTTCAATTCTGGGACATAAATTCTCTCATTGCTCTTATGGGGAGGCCGCAGTATATTTTAATTAAAACGTATTTGATATAAATTGTTCGGTATACTGCTTAGTTTAGCCGTTGTTTAGTTTTTGTGTTGTCATGATTGAAGAAAACTCTGTCTTTTAATTTAAGCTGAAATAATTAATAGGGAGCGGTACTAGTAGGAAATTCAAGTGGGAGACTATATTCAGGCACACAACAAATCCAAACACTTTAGTTGACCCAGGCTGAATTAACATTAAAAATACATATAAAGGCCTTTCATCAGCGGTCTGAAGGAGATGCTGCATGAATTCTTGATAAGTTTCGTGGAAAGAGCTCATTTATCATAATTTCTCCTACTAGTATTTAAGGATTTGTCCTGGTGATATTGGTTTATACTAGATATCGACTATTATAGTGGTAAACTTTACTAGATACCTACAAGTTGAATTATAATATATAATAAAATATTAACATTTAGAACAATGTTATTTCAAGAACATATTTTATTTCATGTTAACAATGTTCTTATTGAAAATTTTCAGATTTGGCCAAAACTCTTGCGATCACCCTTTGGACGTTTGTTGTGGAATTCCGAGAGACCCTGGAACAAGAGAACCATCAGTTTCTCCAAGTCCTCCGCCTGTGAATCCCTCAACAGCTTCCACTACATCCACAACAAGCGCTCCACCTACTCCAGTTACGCCAAGACCCAGTTCGGTACAGTGTGGAATACGTAACAACAATGGGATCGATTTTAAGATTACAGGAGACAAGTAAGTATAGTAGTGATGTTGATTTTCGTTACTTTTGACTACTCGTTACTAATCGTTACTCGAGTACTAAGTAATCATTTCAAATATTCGTTGCTTTGATTACTATGATTACTTTTTTCTGATTTTGGTACTGCTGTCAATTTTGTCAACTGCTGTGTGTCTAATTTCACATGCTTAAGGGACATATTTTGAGAAATAGATTCTTAGTACCCACGTTTTTCATTTTACGTAACCTAAGGAACTTCTACGCAAAATTTCATACTTCTAAAACCTATTTTAACAAATTTTTAAGACAACTTTCACTCCTAATTTCACCCTCTTAGGAGGTGAGTTTCCAAAAAATCACTTTCGCCACTTAAGAAACCTCTATACAAAAAATCATACCCCTAGGATTCATTTTAAAAAAATATATACAAAATTTCACCACCAGTTTTACCCCCTTATTTATGTGTGAATTTCCAGAAATCGTTCCTCAGTGCTCAATTATGTCAGCCAAGAAACCTCTCTGCAAAATGTCATGCTTTTAGAAACGATTTTAACAAATTTTTGTACAGACTATCGTCCCTAACTTTACCCTCGTATGGGATAATTTTCCAAAAATCAAGTATCCACTTCCGTCACTTAAGAATCTCTGCGCAAAATTTTATACTCCTACGACAAATTTAAAAAAAATCTACAAACTTCCACCCCTTGTTTCGATAGTTTCGTCCCCTTAAAGGTTGAATTTTCGAAAATCGCTTTTTAGTGTCCAATTACATCACTTAAAGAACACATATAACACAATACAACAAAAGCATATCATCCAACTAGTGTCCCGGAAATAAGTGCAAGTATTTTACGGGTTGGTATATCTGGGCAAAAGAAACATATTTTCTCTTTACCATTTTTAAAATAAATTGATAATAACCGAGTTATTTAACTTTGACAATTAAAATAAATATATAATGGCAACATCGAATATGTGTCGAACTATACTACCGATTAAAATACTTGTACTTATATTATTTCTGGGACACCCTGTATAATACTGTATTTTTTGGTAGTAGATTCTCTCTCTCTCTGTCTTTATTCCTACAAAAGGAATGTAGTGGTCAGGTGATGTGTGAGGTTTGTCTCCATAATTCCCTGTCTTGTGCTTCATGTACAAGCGTGTGCAGTGGCTTGTGGGTGATTTTTGATAGCTGGTCTATCCATCGGGAGGGCGAGCGGTCTCTTGGTCTTCTTCCCGGAACCTTGCCCTTTATAATGAGTTTTTCCATACAGTCAGTATCCCTCCTCATAACGTGACCGAAATATTTAAGTATACGTGACTGTATAGAAGTTGAGAGGCGTTCTGTGATGTTCAATTCTTGGATTATGGATTCATTGGTTCGCCGGGCAGTCCAGGGAATTCTGAGCATTCGTCGCCAACAGTACATCTCAGTTGCGTCAATTTTTTTCATTTCTGACTGTCTCATCGTCCAGGACTCGGAGCCATACATTAATATAGGAAATATTAGGCAGTGAACAAGCGTTTTTTTTAAGTGTTTAGATATGTTTTTGTCTCGCCATATCTTTGAGCGTTTTCGGTCTTCCACTCTTGTCATTTCACATCTTCTTCTTATTTCCCCTTCTAACGATCCCGTGTTGTTTATAAGTGACCCAAGATATATATATTGACTTACAACCTCAAAACGACCAATGCTCACTACATCAGGTTTGTTGTTGTTTTGCCTGTCGATAATCATAATTTTTGTTTTAGAGGGATTAATTTCAAGTCCAAGTTTCTCGCTTTCGTCTTCAACCAATTTTAGAAGCTGCAGTAACTCTTCCTCGTTTTTCGCTAGAAGGACCGTATCGTCTGCAAATCTGAGGTTGGTAATTTTGTGACCATTAATTGTTATCCCCCCTTGCCAATGTTCCAATGCCCTTCTCATGATATATTCAGTATATATATTGAATAACTGAGGAGATAGTATGCACCCCTGCCTAACACCACAGGTAGGCTGGAAGTCTTCCGAAGTAACGCCATTGATGGTAATTCTACTTTTGGTATTTACATAGAGATTCTGGATCAATGGAATCAAATGAAGAGGCACGCCCATTTCTTTAAGAACCATCCATAGTTTTGACCATTTGACTTTGTCAAAAGCTTTTCGATAGTCTATGAAAGAAATATAGAGCGGATTGTTAAATTCTCGGGTCTTTTCGATAATCTGACGGACATTCAAAATTTATTCACGTGTTCCTCGACCTCTTGTGAATCCTGCTTGCTCTGGAGGGATTTGTGGTTGAATATGCGGTTTTAACCTTTCGTTAATGATATGAAGAAGAATCTTACTGGCATGTGAAATTAGCGCAATGGTACGAAAGTTGTCGCATTTGGCTCGAGATCTCTTTTTATGGATGGTTATTATGGAACAATCGGTCCAATCTGATGGCCATTGGTGAGTATGCCATATCATATTACATAACTTGTGCAAGATGTCCACACCAAAATCTCCCGACGCTTGGAGCATTTCGGCCGTGATGTGATCTGGTCCCGGGGCTTTATGATGCTTTAGGTTTTTTATTGCTGCTTCAATTTCCAATCTCAGTATTTCTGGTTCTTCATTAATTATATCACTGTGGAAAGAGCAACTAGGCTGAGGATCTTTTTCTTTATACAGTGTTCCGCAGTATGTTCACCATCGTTCCACTATTTCGTTAATTTCGGTTTTAAGTTGTCCTCGATCGTCTTCTATTGCCCATGTTTTTGGCTTGAATTCTCTTGTGAGGTACTTTATATTTTTAAATAGGTCCCCTGGTTGATTTGTGAAAGCGTGAGATTCTATTTCCTGGCATATTTTTTCATAGTAGTTGTTCTTGTCGATGGTGCAACTGTGTTTGATCTCTGTATTTATTTTTCTATATTTATCTTTTTCATCTTGTGTTTATATATATAGGTAGCCCTGGTAGTAGATTAGGTGGTTGAAAATAACAATCTCTTGATTTCGGATTTGCCATTCATGGGAATCTCTGGCGTCATGGTCGTTCATTTGTGTCCGCGTGTTATCTTCATAACTGTAGCATAGTTCTTTTTGTCATTTCTGTTAAATGAGCCATTTTTCTGATATTCAGTTAACCAGATTCAACCGAGTGTAATATTGACAACTACTGTACTGCAGTAAGCAGTAAGACAACTTTAATTTATTAGAGTCTCTTAGAGTCTAGCATTTTCTGAAAAATCTTTTTTTTAAAATTATTAAAAAATTTAGTAAAATACAGGGTGTTACATGTAAAATAAGAAAGTTCCTTTCAGCTTCTGTTACATGATACAAGGATGATACCCTCTATAAAAAGTTTATGTTGAAAAAGACGAGCAACTAAAAGTACCTGTTAATTAATTATCGATTTCTGACACACACTGTATTATTTTAGAGGTTAATTTTACTGCATTTTACTAAACATTTCTTAAGAGAAAATAAAACACTAATTAACCACAATACATCTAAAACACTTTACTCTTGCACCCGACGTGCGTTTCGCTAACCATGTTAGCATCATCAGCAGATGATTAAAACTCAGTTTTGATGATGCTAATATGGTTAGCGAAACGCGCGTCCGGCATAAAAGTAAATTGTTTTTGGTGTATTGTGGTGAATTAGCGTTTTATTTTGCTGTTTAACACCAAAGGTTCCAATCCTCAACTGTAACATTTCTTACGACTGAATTAACATTTTGGTATTTTTTTTTGAGAGAGAAATTAATAATAAAAAAAATGTGAGAAAATAAAATAATCTATTTTAGAGATAACGAAGCTGAATATGGAGAATTTCCGTGGATGGTTGCTATTTTAAAAACAAACTACAACCCTAGTGTGGACAAAACTTTAGCCATTTGTGGTGGATCCCTCATTGCTCTTAATGTTGTCTTGACAGGTGCACATTGTGTGGCTAAGTAAGTGTGTATGCATAAAATTATTGTATTGAAGTTTTATAAATATATCGCAAATTTTGCTAAAAACCAGGTTTGAACAATAAAACTTTTTTTTAATGGTATATTATCAATACATCCAGGGTGTCATTGAAATGGTGTAAAAAAATCAGGGGGTGATAGTACTCCTAAAAATAGTAAAAAAAGTTCATATAAGTATAGGGCGGAAAATGCATATTAAGGGAGTTAGGGGCACTGAAAGGGTGAATTGAAAAAACGGTTGTTTTGAAATTGTAGGCTTAAAAAACGAGATAAAATTTCGAAAAAAAATGCTTTGCCATAAATTTTGACCCTAAATCAAATGGTGATATTGAAAAATTATTTGGAAAAGCGGGAAGGGTAGTTTTTGCAGGGGTAGGGGGTTGTTTCGTGAATAACTTCTTAGAGGTTATTTTTTTTGCAACGTGGGGGGTTCATTTTTTGAAAACTACATACTTTTTCCTACAAAAAAGTCTTATTGCGCATCGCCTAGAGCGATGGTTTTCGCGAAAATTGAAGGCAAAGAGTTTGCTCTGATGGGTTGGTATCAACATAAACTTATGAAAGTTATGGCGGTTCAAAAGTAACCAAGTAGTTATCAAATAATTAATTGAACAATCAAAATTTTATGATTTTTAAAATATCTTATTGCTTTAAAAAACGAAATAATCCACTAGATTTCTACTCCCGGGGGCCACTTTGAACGCTTTGGTTTACTCAGTGCCGATTAATACTGAAGAGCAACTACGGCAACGCATTATTGACTATTCCAATCAAATTAGGACAAACGCCAAGGATATTCCACAGGGTACGCAGATCTTGGAGAAGAAGAGCAGATGTCTGCATTGAAATGAATGGTGGTCACTTTAAACATTTACTATGAATGAATTAAGGAATGCATTATTTTAATAAGGAATTTTGGTAATTGGTTTATTTCGTTTTTAAAGCAATAAGATGTTTTAAAAATCATGAAATTTTGATTTTCCAATTATTTATTTAATAACTACATGGTTACTTTTGAACTCCCTTAATAAGCATTTTCCTCCCTATCCTTATAGGAACTTTTTTTTACTATTTTTAGGAGTACCCGCTTTTATAGGACTACCCCCCGATTTTTTTTACACCAGTTCAATGACACCCTGTATATTTAAACTCAAAACCAAATCAAAACCAAACCAAATATTTTGATTATCACATTTATAAAATATTTTTGAATTAATATTTTTATTATATCATTTCCAATATTATCAATTTATATTTCTTGCAATATGTTTTATAGGCTCAACACTGCAGAATACAAAGTTCGAGCTGGTGAATGGGATACCCAAACTGAAAAGGAAAGACTACCCTATCAAGAACGAACGGTGTCTCAAGTCATTATTCACAGCGATTTTAATCCCCAAGTTTTGACCAACAACGTAGCTTTACTTATATTGTCTAGTCCATTTGATCAGGCTGATCATATCGGTACAATATGTTTGCCAAGACAAAATGAGGTTTCCTCATCCAGAAATTGCTTGGCTAGTGGCTGGGGAAAAGATATTTTTGGTAAGAATCTTTATCTGATAACACTGGTCAGCAAAATTTTTTTTTCTCGAGCTCTGGTATATTTTTTGCTGATTCTTGTGTAAAATGATGTTCTGAATTTAAATATAGCTCCCGTTTTCTTCTACCACCCACCTTTTGATGTTATTCTTCACAATGACGAGATGGCTTTGATGCTTATTGTTGTGTACGATTGAAGATGGTTCTTAATGTCGAAGGTTATGCAAAAATCATTGAGTAGATGTCCAAAATTATGAATGTTCACTTGGTCGTTGAAGAAAAATGAGAAAACACAACATATTTTATTTGCCGCCTCATTAACAGTATAAACCGGCGCGACGCGACGTCTACAAACAGCTGTAGCAGCCGGGGGGGGCATACAAAGTATTAGAGTATTTTTAAAAGTTTTTTTGTTTGTTTGTACACTTTACAATACATTAGTACAATACGTCTTTAATTATGCAGATAAATAATTATATAGAATATTAAATTGTGATAAAAAAATAATTAGGCAACTATAGGTCAACACAAAATCAAGGCCCGCTTCGATACAAAGATAAAAAAACGTAATATTTCTCATTTTTAGAAATAAATACATACGACTTTATATCGTTGGAAAGGGATAAACGCCAGCATTTTTTTAAGTTCATAGCCAACTATGATTTCCATTTAAAAATTATATTTTTTATTATTTCTGACTAAAAATGCAAGTATAGTAAAAACTGACGACGCCACTGGATTGTCCTTAAAAAAGTGCCTTAAGAACGTTTTTACAGAATTTTATTATTCCGGGAAATACAAAAGTTAAGGGCAATTTTCCAGATGGTAAAAAATTCAAAAAGACTCCGTATCTCGGTTGGCAGTGAAAATATGAACAGGCGGTTTAGGCCATTAAACGTTTCTTGGAAATCGAGCCCATGAAATCTATGTCCGTTTTGCTCTATCTAGTTAGGAAATAGGTTTTCTCTGTAAAAACAGACCAATTTCGACCACCCTGTACATGTTTTGAAATACAAACCAAGGTGGTCTTTATTTTTGATTCAGATGATCGATAAACGTCGAATTTTGCAGAAACTGTTTAATCTGGGGATCCACAAGAACTCCTTTCTTGATTTTAGCCTCAGACGAGGAAATTTAGTATTACGAAGCAAAATTAGTACCGCTCTACTAAAAAAGTTCATCATTCCGAACATCATTCGTTTTCCGAACACTTAATTGCTCTATTACCCCAGAAATAACAATGTAAAGATCAAAATGTTCCTTTTCATCTCAATAAACTATCGAAAAGCAGTAAAAATAGGTAGGGGTGTCTTCCCTATAAACATGGGGGTGATTGAGAAAAACGGCGCACATATTTAGATTCAGGAGGTCATTTTACATAAGAATCAGCAAGAATGGTGTAACATGGTTTTTGAATAACATGCATGTCTTTTTTCAGGAAAAGAAGGAAACTTTCAAGTTATATTAAAGAAAATTGAGCTGCCAATGGTAGAGAGGACTGCCTGTCAACAAGCTTTAAGGAAAACGCGGTTAGGACCGGAGTTCAACTTACACAGAAGTTTTGTGTGCGCTGGCGGTGAAGCTGGCAAAGATACTTGCACGGTATGTATTATCTCAGAGTAATAATATAAGCAAACCTTAATATACGAAACGAAGGTACCCAAGTTATACAAATCAGATGAAAAACAGAAAATTGCTAGGTAGCCATTTATTTATTATAAAAGACTATTAACGAATATCACATAATGTGATTATTATGATAATAAATAGTGATGAGTGAGACTAATCTTGGTGTTTGTCTTGCACAAAAAGCAAGACCAAGATCAAGACCGACCAGTGCATGACTGATTCAAGATCAAGACTAGCATGCAAGTCTCTTGCGGTCTTGCATTTTTTTTCGCTCATATCAACTATTGTAACATTAGAACCTATGATTAGAACATACAATCGCTGTTTACCAAAAGTGAGTTTTTTGAGATATGTCGCAAATGAGCGTTGTGTATGATAAAAAAATAAACGGCGGCCACGCAAGATACCTTAAAAATAACGACCAATGACATTCATTATGTAATTTTACATATCATCGACCGTGATTTATAACTTGATGCCTTTTTTCGATCACGTTTTTTTACTCTTTGGAAATAAATTCTAAAACGAATTAAAAATTATAATTTTCAGCATCTACCGACCTTGTGGTAATGGTCTATAGAAAAATGAACTATACATTATACATTATTCAACGCCAAGTTCAGAATTTTGAAAATTAACATTTTTATTCTTTTAGAATTCGCGCGCGCGTTACATAAGAGTAATTATTGCATCACGAATTAAACATAACTTTGATGTTATGTTTAATTATTAATTAATTTTAAAATTAATTAATAATTTTATTATCTTTTGTTTGTTTGTTTGTGTACCTTGTTATTTTTTACTTTGTTTGTTAGTTTACCTTTGACCACAAATTGAAAAATTTTTTGACAATAAAGGCATTTATTTATTTATTTATTTATTTATTTATTTATGTTATGTCATTCAAGATTTTTTTATCTTAGGTATTTTAATGTTTTATTTTTAATTTTTTATTTTTGAAATTTTTAATCAAACGATCAAAAAGTTTTTTTTTATGACAAACAGGGTTATGTCAATAACTTTGACAAATAAGAAATTCTCACGTAATTTTCCATAATATTTTTTTTGTCGTTATACGAAGTAGAGTGTGTCCAACGACTCAGGGAAGATTTCGACACACGAGATTCAAAAAATGACAGAAAATACAATTTATCTGTGAATTAAAATGATACACTACAACTCTCACAGTCATATGAATCTTTCATCTTAGGACTTTACCTACATTTGATTATAAAACCATGCTGGATGTTTCTCTTTTATTGGGGACTTCTTGTCGGTTAAAAATAATAAAAATAAATACACTAAAACATATTTTAATACTTTAGAATAAGAGACAGTCTAGTATGAGGGTTAAAAAATGGGTATAAAGTGTTTAAAAAGTGTCTTGGTGTATTATGGTTGTTTTTTATAACAATTTCAGCTTTATTGGAAGAGGTATTGGCGTGTGTATTGGAAGAGAGAGGCACAAAGGAAACAATAATATTATGTGCAACATTTCGCGACCTTATTGCCTCTTCTGCAAGCACTAAAATATTTAGTACTCCAAATGCCTAGTACGTCAGTTTGATGACGGTGTACATCGTACAAAAATTTTCCGAAGTTTATTTTTGTTAATGAATATATTAAAAATAAACTGCAGCACTATGGGTTCAGGGGAACATTTCTCGAATGGTTTAAGTCGTATCTGAGCAACAGAAGTCAACTTGTGAGGGTGGATACCACGTTGTCTTCTAGCAAGCCTATAGAATGTGGAGTAGCATAAGGCTCAGTACTAGGCCCTATTTTGTTTCTTCTTTTTATTAACGTTATTGGTAACATAAACATCAGTGGTAAAATATGTCTTTTTGCGAACGACACTAGCTTCACTTGGAGCAACAAGGATCTCACGGCACTTCATAGGATTATATCAAATGACTTAGTCACCATTAAATCTTGGTGCGATTCGAACCTCCCGAGTCTCAACATTTCTAAAACTAAAGCTTTGTCGTATAAAAACTCGCTGCAGCCTTTTGTACTTAACAATACCACCACTGACGTCGTAAAATCTGTAAAATTCTTAGGGCTTGTTGTAGAAAATTCTCTGAAATGGGACATGCATATCGACGCTTTGCCGAAAAAATTGAGCTCTGCCTGTTTTGCATTAAGATCTGTTTCTAGTTAGTTTAACTTGTCAGTGGCTAGAACTGTTTATTATGCACTTTTTGAGTCGCACCTCAGATATGCCCTTTCATTCTGGGGTACGTGTTGTGCGACTCAATTTGACCGCATTTTCAAGTTTTGTATTCTCTTTTGTTTGTTTACTTTACCTTTGTCTACAAATTGTACATTTTGTTTGACAATAAAGGCATTTATTTATTTCTTTATTTATTTTATATTATAATTGTATCAGTGCTTGAAGAAGCGACAATAAAATCGTGAAACGTCGCACAAAACATAATTGTTTCGTTTGAGCCTTCCCAATACCCACGAGTCTTTTTTATAGAAGGAAGAAGTTCGCAATAAGTGGGAAACTACACTTAGAGCACAATTCCATAATTTTCCATCATGACAGTTGTCACGTGACATGAAAATATTATTGTTTGTTGGTATTGAGCTTGCCGAACTGATTTTTATTGTAAAAATGGCGCTTGTTGTTTGGAAATTACGATAGATGACCTTCCTCATATAATTTTACATATAAAATGACAGTGATGTTCACTTTTTAGCTAACTCTGACGCCTTTTTTTTAATCGTTTGATACTTTTTGAAGTAAATTAGGGTAAGTCCGGTAGAGATGCCCCACTTTTCTTTTGGGGCTAATAATACATATCGGTAGTTAATTTTAAATGAAACTAATGATGCAATCCTAAACTATCTTTAATAATAATTCATAATAGGACTAAGATAGTAATATAATAAGTAAGTATATATAATAGTAAGAGAACAATAAAAAATAGAAAATTGGCCATCTCTCCCTACGTTGCGGGAGAGATGGCCTTCCAACATGGGAGAAATGCCCCGCAAAAAATACATATACATATTGGTTAAATATCTAAGGTTATTTTTTATTTTTTTAACTAATATCCAAAAGTTGAAAATGGCCCTATGCTTGCTTTTTCTGTGTTGTTGTTTGCTTCCCTACGTCTCAAAGTCCTTGCAGGGATTCCAAAAGCATGCATTATGCTTTTATGCCCATTTGGTCGGTATTAATCGCTTGCAAAGCAGCAGCCAATGATTTTTCAAACCACTGAGCGCTTTCGGGACATTTGATTTTATATTCAGTAGGCATGATTAAAAAAAGTTACTTTTTAGTAAATGAATTAGTAGGGCATCTTTACCAGCTTTCTATGTGGCGTCTCTCCCAATACGAAGGGAGAGATGCCCCACCGCAAGGTTTTAAAACGCAGCGTCATATGATTAATTTTTTGAAGTTATGATACTTCAGGAAGCATGTATTTTAATATAAAATGGCATGAAATACCAAAAACTTACATAATATTACGTTATTCCCACGCGACCTCTGACAGTAAAAAAATATGTACTTATATAAAAACAGTTCTTTGTAAAAACTAGCCTATTTTTTTTATTGACATTCAAATTATGTCAGACCATAATAGCAGCAGGTAAACTACTGCCTTATCTAGCGGGAAACAACTGATAAGTCACATGATTAGAAATTTACACGCTGTGGTCATCTCACCCGGTGGGGCATCTGTACCGGACTTACCCTAAAAAGAGAATCCCATTTGACGCACACTGTATCTAAATAAATATACCTATAAATCAGACCAAATAATCTTTTAGTCACGTGATTAAGCTTGGCCGGCACAGCGTTGCCGACTTTTACATGTTTTCTTTTAATCAAAATATTTTTGAAAACAAAAACGAATTAATTATATTTATATTAACAGTTATTATTTACATCTACAAAATTAAGGGACATAAAGGGCTATGGGTTTTTTGCAACGGCTGTTAAGCTGCTTCGGTATCTTGGTCACTTCACACTAGAAGCGGTTCTAAAAAGAACAATTTTCGATTGTAAGGTCTGCTAGTAAAAAAATTGAAGCTTAAAGAATTACAACACAATTCACTTAAGCCAAAAACTCGTAATGCAAAGCTAAATTGCCAAAGGGAATCAATATGTCAGGAAATACATAAATAAATGTGGTAACTTGACATTTTTGCAGCAGAGCTACCACCTGAATCGCCAGAGGCGCTGAATATGCCCATGGTTCGCGACAATAAATTTTATAATCGGGTTCTCGATGACGTACCTAAAAGTTTATTTGGTATCGATTATACTTTGGATTAAATAAACAGTGTTTTTGTTTCTTATTTCATATTAATTTACAATCCCACTTACATTGAGAAGTGAGTAATAATATTTTACTATGAGCTATGAGTAATATTGTTTTTTAGGGTGACGGAGGTAGTCCTTTGGTGTGTCCGGATCCCAGAATTCCTGGAAGATATGTCCAGACAGGTGTCGTCTCCTGGGGCATCGGCTGCGGAGAAGAAAACATACCCGGAGTGTATGCGAATGTCGCGTATTTTAGAAATTGGGTAGATGATAAATTGGCAGGACTGAATATTAAAGTTGATACGCTTTAAAATATAAATATTATGTTATTTAATAAAATTATTATAAGATCATATTTGACTTTTATTAAAGTTTATATGTTCTCTCTCTCTATTCTGTTCTTTTTGAAGATCTGCAGTGCAGGATGATGACGCCTTATTTTAACAAATCAGATGCCTTATTTTAGTACAGGAAAATGAAAAAAAAATACAAATGCAGTATTTGTCGATTGAATGCTAAAGGATCTGGTTAAAGCCGGTCCCACACGATAGTAGCAAATATCTTCCAATGTTGGACACATAGACATTTGCCACATCGTGTAGGAGACATACAGAAAGTTTGAGGCTTTTTGGTTTTACCATATTAAGTAATTATTGTTAACAGGTAGTAATTGTTAATTTTGAAGTTTAACTTCATATAATGACATTTTAACAGAACGTCAACGGTTTTATAGATGTATCTGTTTTAAAAAATTAAATTGATCTCGAATAACTGCATTTAGATATTTTAAAGAGTTGTTTCTTTGTTCTTTGCGGTTTTTTGCTTCAGACGACGGGAAGAGATATACTTCCCGAAACGTTAAGAATTGTTTTGTTCTTAATTCTTCTCGTTGGATTAAAGCAGCAGTGTTTACAAAAAATAAGTATTTTATTTTGTAGATTTTGTAATCCGCCACAGAGGTACAGACATTTTTATATTATCTTACAAATAAAACGACAGCGGTTTTCATTTTTAAGAAATCTCTGACGCCGTTTATGATGAAGCATCCATTTCGACTTTGTAGTTCTAAACTTATCGTTCAAAATTAGAGGGAATGTCAGTCCAACAAGACATTTCATTCTACAATATTTATCAGTCTACTACAATCAAACCCCAATGATGGTTGTTATGTAAATATTACAAAATAAAATATAGCCAATTTATTCTCATATACGCGTTTCGTGGGATAAGCACCTGTTATTATGAATTTACATTATGGTAGATATACATTGATACAACATTTTTGAAGAAAAAAAAAATAATACAAAATTATTAATTATCATATCTAAATGATTAAAAAGTGTCTATCGTTATAAGCCAAATTGTGAAAAATATTTTTGATATAATAAATCTGTATCATTATAAGCAAAATTATGAAAAATACTTTTGAGATAATATACATATTTTATTTTCCTTGAGACTGAATTTCTTTATTATAACGTGTGAATTGAACTTAAAATGAACTAATTGTGGTGAAAAATATTTATAATGGTTTTTTATATTTAAAGTAGATCTATGTATCTACAATTTAAAATAATAAAAAACTTAATATATAAAATATGTTCATTTTAATTACGACAAAAAAAGTGTTTTCTCTTATACTAAACAAATATATTCTAATCAGTCCTTTTTGAATACCGCCAAGCTGTTTTAATTTTTAAATTATTTTTCCTAGTATTAGCTCACTGCGCCAAGTTTGATTCACTCTGCACTTCAAGTATTTTTGAACTTAAGTTGTTGGTTGCATGGAAGAGCAGCTTATGCCGAATTTCGCCAACTTTATATTTATTTATACCGTGTGCGTCTCAAAAGTGCCTCACCCCTATAACTGTTTTATCTTTTTAGAAAAAAAAACTAGATTTGGTATGTAAGTATATGACATAAATTAGGATTGATTGGCGTATTCAATTGTTTTCGGTCATTTCCTGTTTCACTGGAAGTGACTACCACTTTTCATTTTAAATGGTACCATCGGTATTTTTTTACTTTATTTGATTGAAAATGACACTCAGAATAGAATGACATGTCAACTTTTTGACATTCTCGCTTAAAAAAATGTATTTTAAATTTAAATTTAGAGTAAAGGGTGGGTCAAATTCGACGCTTTTAAATGGAAACACCCTTTTCTATAGGAGATAGACGAAAACTAATATCGGTGTCTGGGGCTCAATTTTCATCAAAAACATGATGGTGAAAACCGCACATCAATATCTGTTACCGTTTCGGAGTTACGGGGTGTTTTTCAAAAATGTGCATTTTTAACAAATCGTAACTTTTTTGCTATGGAAAATTTTGTATTTCTATGAAAACATTTCCAAAGCACCTTTTTACGTAGAATTTAATGGTTTAAGTATATTTTTTTTAAAATTAATAATTTAAGAGTTATCAACAGAAAAATTGATTTTTTATTTGGGACACCCTCTATATTTTTAATTAACTGAAAAAAAATTAAAATTACCTTTCCAAAAATATAGCACACTTGATATTTTGTTATAATCCCCTTCGAAATACAGAATATTTACAGGTTCGCCACTTTTAACTAGTAGGCTTTGGACCCTTTATTGATGATATGCCATTAATGGAACTCGAAAACATATTTTTCCAGCAAGACGCGACGGATCGCCTCAGATCGCTGAAGTTATCAGCAAATTTTTGCAGCCAATTTCAAGAATAATTGAATAGCTAACGAAGATCCCAGCCGTTGACCGTCGAGGTCGCCTGACTTAGTGCCCATGGATCTAATCTTATGGATATATTTGCGGAAGAATAAAGGTTCCTTATTCTTCCGTATAATCTAGACAAGAATTATAAATACTTAGCAGTTATGAGAGGATATCTTTCACCCCCGCTGAGTTAATGAATTCCGCGACAAATGTTCAATAACGGCCCCGTCTGTCCATAACAGAAGACGGTCGATATGTCGAACACCTGTAGCAAAATCTCATGTCTTGGTTTGATATTTTTTTTTATTGTTATTAGATATAGTTTAAATGTGTTGATGTTTGTTAAATATATTTTAAATTGTTATAAAATTCTGCATCTGTCATAGCAAATATTATTTTTGTTTTAATTGATTCTCACAGCTAGAATTTTTTTGCATTACAGCCGGTGCCGTTCAAAGCCGACTTATTTAAAGCGGGCGAATTTTTATATACTCTATATCTCGAAGAGGAATCGAGCAAAATATCAAGTGTGGTATATTTTTGGAAAGGTAATTTTATATTCTTTTCAATAAATTAAAAATATACAGGGTGTCTCGTATAAGAAATCAAATTTTCTGTTGATAATTCTTAAATTATTAATTTTAAAAAAATTACACTTAAACCATTAAATTCTACGTAAAATGGTGCTTTGGAAATGTTCTCATAAAAATACAAAATTTTCCATAGCAAAAAAGTTACAGCGATTTGTTAAAAATGCATATTTTTGAAATACACCCTGTAACTCCGAAACGGTAACAGATATCGATATGCGGTTTTCGCCATCATGTTTTTGACAAAAATTGAGCTCCAGACACCGATATTAGTTTTTGTCTATTTCCTATAGAAAAGGGTGTTTCCATTTAAAAGCGTCGAATTTGACCCACCCTGTACAATGGCTGTGCTAAAAATACTAATTTTTACTCAAGGAGCCATGGAAAAATAGATTTGATTATGTCTTGTCTCTAGTGTCTTGTCCTGGCCGGTTAAAAGATACCCAAGTCGTATTTTTAATTATGACCCAACAACAGTTTGTTGCATATGTGTCAATTTTTTCAAATGGAACGAGGGTGGCTCATTAGTATATTTGGAAAAAGCATTTTTTTACGAATAATTTGGTACTACACACTTGGTATTTTGAGTCAAATTGTCGTTATGAACCGCACGTTATAATTTCAAATAAACCATAGGCGAAAATGTCAAAAGTTGAAATGACATATGATATGTCATTCTATTTAGAGTGTCATTTTCTATCGAATAAAGTAAAAAAATACCGAGGGTGTCATTTAAAAATCACAAGTTGTAGTAATTTCCGGTGAAGCAGGAAGTGATCTAAAACAATTAAATACGTCAAACAATCCTAATTTAGGTCATACACTAACATATCAAATCTCGTATTTTATCTGAAAAATAAAAAAAATATAGGGGTAAGCCACTTTTGAAATGCTCCCGGTATATACTCATTGTATGCAACTTAAAAAAAATAACGGCACTTATTAACTCTGATTTATTAAATAAAATCAAATAATTATTTACTAACCATCATTAAATATGTTTTATGTAGGCAGAAATTTAATCTGTTTATTGAAAGCAAAAATAAATTGAACATTTTACTGAAGGTGTGGATATACTCGTATTAACACTGTATTTTCACAGATATACGGATATTATAAAGTATCTAAAAAATCTAATTGTAAATATACAAATTCTCTCAAACATCTAGAATGATATTAGGAACAGTTGAGACACTTCTCTGGATCTATGGAAGTGTTTCTAAATCAAAACCTTCAGATTATTCAAACAATGCATATCAACAAGCAAACAAACCACATATTATCATTTTATTAAAGCTAATTACTCTCATTAATATACCGGGTGTGTCTCAAAAGTGGCTCACCCCTATAACTTTTTTACTTTTTCAGATAAAAAAAAACAAAATTTGGTATATTAGTATATGACATAAATTAGGACTGATTGACGCATTCAATTGTTTTTCGTCACTTCCTGTTTTACCGGAAATGACAGGAACTTTTAATTTTTAAATAACACCCAAGGTATTTTTTTACTTTTATTTGATAGAAAATGACACTCTGAATAGAATGACATATCATATGTCAACTTTTGACATTTTTACATTTTGGTTTATTTGAAATTGTAACATGCTTGTAACAATTTGACTCGAAATATCAAGTGTGTGGTAACAAATTATTCGTAAAAAAATGCTTTTTCCAAATATGCTAATGAGCTACCCTTGTTCTATTTGAAAAAATTGAGATATAATTAAAAATACGATTTGGGCATTTTATAATGGGCCCGAACAAGACACGAAAATTATTAGACGATTAAATCTAAGGCTCCTTGATTAAAAATTAGTGTTTTTAGCAAATCCATGGCACTCTAGATTTATATTTAAAATACGGTTTTTTGTTAAGAGAAAATGTCAAAAGTTGACACACTATATGTCATCCTATTCAGAATGTCATTTTCTATCGAATAAATTAAAAATATACAGGGGGTGCTATTTAAAAATCAAAAGCTGTAGTCATTTCTGGTGAAATAGGAAGTGGCCAAAAACAATTGAATACGTCAATCAATTCTAATTTATGTCATATACTAACACACCAAATCTCGTTTTTTTTTATCCAAAAAAATAAAAAAGTTATCGGGGTGAGCCACTTTTGAGACGCTATAAAGGTATATTTACCTATTGCATGTACAGGGTCCGGCAATAGTGCGTCGGGCATCTGTAACTCCTAGAATAAAAAACTTGAACATTTTGTTTTAGTGCAAACCTGAAGTATGTACCAGGATGTAATTCAGGAAAATATTTTAACTTCTATAGGGTGGCTCATAAAAGGTGAGTGGACCTGGATGATTTTTTTTTAAATGGAACACCCTGTATATTATTGCATTTTTGACTTCCTTTCAGATCACTTTACATAACCCTAAGATATGAATAAATATATTTCGATAGTTTCAGAGATTTTAAAAAATAAATCAAAAATATATATTTTTCAGCCCTTCTTAAAAAAATTATTAAAAATACAAGAACTGTTCTGAAATCAAAACGATATTAGGTAATTACTTTAGATGGTCTGTGCTTATTTTACCTATAAATATGGTAATCGTAAATCACACAGGATGTTCAATATTCTACGCCAAACTTTCTAAAATATAAAATATTTTTTCTTTATTTTTTTAAATGGAACACCCCATATATTATTTTTTTATTAGATGGAGAGTTTAAAAATGAACATTTTTTGTATTTAGAGATTTCAAAATTTTTAACGGTTTTGCAGATATACGTAGTATTATTTCATATGGCGCTTTCAATGGTAAAATACGAGAGAAAAATTATTGGGTGGCTTTGATAAAAATTTACTGCAGAAAATGCCATATGAAATATAAAACAGCAAATATCTGCGAAACCGTTAAAAATTTTGAAATACTGTAAATTACAAAAATGTTCATTTTTTAATTCTCCGTCTATTGAAAAAATAATATACAGGGTATTCCATTTAAAAAAACGAAGAAAAAATATTTTATATTTTAGAAAGTTTGGCGTAGAATTTTGAACATCCTGTATAATTTACGATTTTCATATTTATAGCAAAGTAAGTACAGACTATCTAAAGTAAATACCAAATTTATTTTTTAATATCTCTGAAACTATCAAAATGTATATATTCCTATTTTAGAGTTATGTAAAGTGATCGGAAAGGAAGCCAAAAATGCAGTAATATACAGGGTGTTCAATTTAAAAAATATTATCCAGGTTCACTCACACTTTTTTGAGCCACCCTATAGAAGTTAAAATATTTGCCTGAAATACATCCTGGTAGATACTTCAGGTTTGCACTTAAACAAAATTCTCAAGTTGTTTATTCTAGGAGCTACAGATGCCCGACACACTATTGCCGGACCCTGTATATCCTAAATTAGACAATTTATTTGCAACAAAGTTTTATCAATCTTCTACATAAACCATCAGTGTCGTTTCTGCAAAAAAAAATAGTTCTTATATCTATAAATAATTTTGATACTAAATTGTTAAACCCTCTACACTTTTTGCGAAATAATAAGTATTTCAAGGTGGAATAGCAAAGGGGATTATACCGCATGCTATTCTTTTAAATTCTTTCATGTTAAAAAAATTCTTTCATTTTACTTCGTTAAGGCATGGTTTTATGATGAAATTTAGGTCCTTAATAAAAATAATAAAAAAATTGGCGCCGGGAGGCACGTATATAGCCACCCGTACTAAAATATGTTAATACAAATGTTGGTAGGCAGTTCTTTTAGTTTCAATATGAAGAAATTTTTCCAATTTTTTTTATCTCAAAAACTGCGACTTTGACTGATTTTGATATTATTACAAATTTTGTTGCAAATATTATTCCTAATCTTAAATTGAAAACCGCGTTTCGCTAGCTACTGTAATTTTGGAGTTACGATTTTTTTAAATTTTTAACCCCCCTCCCATACTACCTTACCAACCTCCCTCCCCCACCAAAAACTAATGGCCAGATTCTCGGGTGCCACAGTATTTTTGTGCCAAATTTGGTTAAATTCGGTATAGCGGTTTTTGAGTTATCGTGTTACAGACAGACGGACAGACACAATGAAAATACTTTGTATTTAGGTCATTTATGACTCAAATAACTCATTTTAAGTAAAATTAAAAAAACTTTTTTTTGCTGATCTTAATAGCCTACCATACTTGTTGGCATGGTCGGCTAATAAGTTCTAAAATAAAAGATTCGTATGACTATAAGAGTTGTAGTCTATCTTTTTTATTAGGCGAGAAAATACGAAACATCCCTCTTTATTATTCGACCTTGACATACTTCGTGTTATTTCGCGAATAGTGTAGAGGGCGTTTTGCGAATGGAGACATTTATAATCAATGGATACATATTGTAATGAAGTATGTAATTCAAGTACCTTTCAACATAGTCCGTCAATTCGGGAGTGTTAACTGATCCATTGTTACACCGATAACATAGTCCACAAAGACAACTTCCGTTAGTGCTTCGCACTATTGAAGCCATGGTTTTATTTTCGTCAAGTATTATTAGGGAATCGAAAAAATAATCTAAAAAAATGTCGAATTATTGTAAGCAGTTTTTTTAATTAAAACTGAACAGGTAACAATGCAAAACCAGGCAAATGCCAACATACCTTAAGTTGTCAACCTATGATTTTGCCAATGTCAAATTGTATTTTCTAAACGTTAACGCCTTTTGCCTCATTCGAAACAGTTTTAAATTACAAAAATACATTTCGGGGACACTAAGTACAGGTACTAGAATGTAGTAGGTGTAGAGAACACAACAAATTAAATTTGACAATGAAAAAATCATAGCTTAAGGTATGTTGGCATTTGCCTGGTTTTGAATTGTCACCTGTTCAGTTTTAATTTACAAAAATAGATGCAGTTTTTCTTAAATTACTTAAAATCGGCTTGTCCAAAATTGTTCAAATTTGACATGTGTATTCCGCATAGGCAGACCTTTAAAAAACCTATTTACGACTTAGCTATAACATTAATAGAGGACCCACTATTTGAACAGTTCAAAATTTGCAACCTATATAGGGTGTGTCTTAAATAAAAAAAGTGCAAATATTTTCCTGTACTACCTATACTTACCTATACTTATATTGTTATGATTTTTAAATAAAATTAAAAAAATCCAAAATATTTTTCAAAAAATTCCAAATTTTCCAATTTATGTCTCGAAAAAACCTTCATAGACGTGTTTCTGGGGTATACTACCCCTAATATAATTGCTTTTATTTAAGACTCACCCTGAATATAAACATTTCTTAAAAAGTGCCTGTATCCTAGGCACTGCAAGCTGATACTTGATTATCCTATACCGGATGAGTCTTAAAAGTGGCTCGCCCCTATAACTTTTTTATTTTTTTAAATAAAAAAACGAGATTTGGTATGGTAGTATATGTCATAAAATAGGATTGATTGGCGTATTTAATTGTTTTTGGTCACTTCCTGTTTCACCGGAAATGAATACAACTTTTGATTTTTAAATGGCACCCTTGGTATTTTTCTACTTTAGTAGGAGATATTAGCCGATTGGGCTCCTCCACATGCGCAGTTCGCTTGACCTTGACATATGTGGCTTTCAAACCTCCTTGAGTGATTCCAGAAAGAACCTTGTTGTGAGACCTTAAACGACCTTTAAGGTTGACTTTCAGATGTATTTGAAATGCGTTTGTGTACCCTTCACAAGTAAATTTCAACCTAGAGTGCAATGGCTGTTTTAAAAACACTTAATCAAGGAGCCTTGGAAAAATAGATTTAATCGTCTAATGCTTTTAGTGTTTTGTCGTGGCCTGCTAAAAGATGACCGAATCGTATTTTTAACCATGTCTCAATTTTTTCAAATGGAACAAAGGTGGCTCATTAGCATATTTGAAAAAAACATTTTTTACGAATAATTTGGTACCACACACTTGGTATTTCAAGTCAAATTGTCGCTATGAATCTTGTGTTGCAATTTCAAATAAACTATATTCGAAAATGCCAAAAGTTGACATATGATATGTCATTCTACTCAGAGTGTCATTTTCTATCGAATAAAGTAACAAAATACCGGTGCCAGTTAAATATCAAAAATTGTAGCCATTTCCGGTGAAACAGGAAGTGACCGAAAACAATTGAATACGTCAATCAATCTTAAATTATGTCATATACTAACGTACCAAATCTCGATTTTTTATCTGAAAAAATACAAAAGTTATAGGGGTGATCCACTTTTGAGACGACCCAGTATAATCAAGTTATTCGAAATTGACAAAAAATAATATTTAAATATTCTGTTAAAATGCCTACGTTAATATGCCATCAATATCCATCCAATAGCCATCAATGTGCCATAATAATGCCAACTTAATAATAAACATAAAAAATAGAATGAAATTAATAAAATTTGTACCAAACTAACATTAAAAGCCTATTTTTGGTTAATATTATTATTAATATACGATTAGAGATATTATTTACCATTTTCTACAATATTTGGTTCATCATTATTGAGACTTGTTAACTCTGTCCGATTATCATCATTCGTCTGAAGTTGAAGGGTAAGGGCGATTATAAAGCTCCACAAGATCAATAATAAAATATCTGAAAAACAAAATAAAATGCAAATTTAAAAACTGTAACTTTAATTAATAACATAATATACATCACATTTATTAGTTATTACCTTTCATTTTATAGAGTTTAATATCGAAAAATATTATGCTGCCTATTTAGTAAATTTTGTAAGCAACTAAATTAAATACTTACTTTCATCCTACTAAAATTCTATTTCTGTTGCTCGCTGAAAACTGCATTTGTAGTCCAAAAATAAAGCCAACAACCTAGAATTTGAAAAATGACATAAACTTTATTGTTTTAAATAATTCTAGTTTATTATTAACTAAATATACTGCAGATCATAAATATTTTGAATGTTCTTTTAAAATTAACACAATAAATATAAAATACTATAACTATAATGAATATAAATAAATCAAATTGCAAAGGAAGTTATAAATTAAGTTATTACTTTTACTAAAGTTATTTATGAGCACTAAATCCATTCAGAGAAATAAGTTAATCTTTGAGATTTAATTATTTCTAAATTAAATGATAAAGTTTTAAATTGAGATGATTAAGGAAAAACGTAATTCCTCTATAAGGTCAAGGAAACACAATGACCCAATTGATCTTGATCTTATCTTGAACCCTTGACCTTCATCCAGCTAGTTTAAATATTGAGTTTTGGTATTTCTGTAATGTTTTTGAAATTGTACCCATGTCAGAATAAGCCACTACTTAGGTTCACGCGTGGAAAAAATCCTCTTTAGCTGAAAATTGCCTTGATAAAGACGAGAATATACGTTGAAACAAAGGCAATTTAAAAAAGAAGCGTTTTTAACTTTCTGGTTCGAAACCTGCTAACGCCATTTTATACCGGGTGGTGTATCGTCGTTGGAAACAGGAAATCCCATGCAAATTTTAAACAGTTCAAATATTGGCTCCCCTATTGATTTTATAGCAAAGTCGTAAATAGATTTTTTAAAGGTCTATGTTTGATAAACACATGTCAAATTTGAACCATCCGATTTTGAGTAATTTGATAAAAACTGCATCTATTTTTAAATTAAAACTGAACAGGTAACAATCAAACACCAGTAAAAAACCGACATAACTTAAGTTGTCAACGTCATTTTCAAACGTAAATTAATTTTAATATTCAGTTCTAGTAATAATTTATTTTTATGACGAAACAGTTTATAGAAAAAAATAGGCCAAAATTTACAGCTGACCTGATTTTACAGCTGAGTAAAGACAGAACAACGGTTAAAACTGACGTTGGTTTACTAATAGGGCATTCCAACCGCAATATGCATTTAAAACTGATGTGCTTGACAGACAAAGTCATTTTGTGAAGGTGTCTATTGAGACATTACAATCATAGATAGAAGAAAATAATCTACTATTAAGATAGATATGAAACTTAATAGTAAAATTTTGGGTCAAAGCGCCCCTCCGTATTTTTAGTGGAGACTACGTTTAACCCAGCGCTTTCGCCATTTCTGCTGTAAATGTTTTTTATGTTTATATTTGAATTCAAAGGATTTATTTTTAAAGTTACACTGATATCAGAGTAACTTTAATAAAACATATATATATATATATATATATATATATATATATATATATATACAATTTATTTTTTTTATTTATTTTACAGAGTTTCATGTAAATGATCGTAAGTCGACTGGCTGTCTAATGAACAGACCGGGATTTATAGATTTTAAAGCGAACGAAAAAAAAAATCAAATAATGAATACATACCATATATTTTTCTTTTATCTAAGATACATACCTTATCGTCTTTTGGAAACACGTATATTTTTGCAGTTTTGTTAGTTTCTTTGCAAGATGCAACACAACAAGAAAACACCATTTTTACAGTTAATAAATAATAAAACTATTTCTGACTATGCTATTTAAAATTTAGATAGATAGAAAATTAAAAAACAAACCAGTATTTGCAAACGCAGGCCCAAATTCAATAAAAATCAAAATCTTTCCTGCGAAAATCAGCCTTTTTTCACTGAAAAGGTATTTTTTGATTTATCAGCAGTCATTGTCAAGTTGACAATATGCAGGGTGTTTTCGAATTAGTCTAAAAAAAATATGGTGTGATTCCTCATATGTGTTCTTAAAACAATTTTTATATAACCATTAGGTCTAAAGTACTTCCTTTCTGATCTACAGGGTGTTAAAAATTAAAAAAAATCGATTTTTTTGCTTAACATAAGTGGTACACCACTGCTTTTTTAAAGAAAATATATTTTTTTCTTGACTGGCCATCCTTTTTCAACAAAATTGATCTTTTGAGTTTTTCTTGTTCATCAAACGGTTGTCGAGAAAAAAATAAATATACTTATTAAGAGCCCGCCTTAATTCGTTTTCTCACGATTTTATATTTTTTAGATTAATTAGGAAACACCCTGTATATGCATATCACAGGCAACCAAATAAACTAGTAACCTCTAAAAATTATTTTTCCTACCACTAGCGACATACCGTGTTTTTAGTGTCTATTAAATTATTTTATCAACATTTTACCATATAAGTTTCCAGGCAATGATTACAATACGACAAGCAATACTCTGCTGGAGTTCATCATGTGCTGTGCCCCATTTTGAATAATACATTTCAGGATAAAAAAACAGGCACTGAGTTGAGTTGCCTCCTTTTACAAGTTGTGCAGTAAAAGATTTGCAAAAAGTGCAGCAGATCGTTTGAATAGGTATCGATCAAATCAGGAGGTGGATTAATCTCAATTACCTATTGCTAAAAATAAAATAACAAATAGTAAAGGTTACGAGCTGCATTCAAAGATTAAAAGATTGAAAGTAGCCGTATGAAGCTTTTTGCAATTAAGGACAATTCCTGAGAAAATAATCAAAATAAAAGGATCTAAATAACAAAACTGACTAATTATAATATAAGTTATAGAGTTTATTCATTTTCAGAAAGTGGTGGTCCATGGTAAAAACTTAATGTTAAAATAAAAATAATAGACAATAGATATTCACAGTGGTTTGGACTTTGTTTTTGACTTTAACATTAAGTAATTATAAAATGCCTGTAAGAGAGCAATTTGCAACAATATACAAATCAGTTTGCTTTGAATTCTGGATCAAAACTGCATTAAACTCTTAAAATTTATTTATCTGCTGATGATACTAACATCATTAGCAAAACACGCGCTCACGGTTCAATGTAAAGTGTTTGGTGTATTGCGGTAAATAGTATTTTGTTTTGTTGTTGTAACGTTAATGGTTCTTACCTCAACTATATCCTTGCATTGATGTAAGCTATTGAATTAAAATTGTAGGATTATTATCATACAGTAGACATTGGAGAATGCATCTATACAAAAGCGTATAGATGCATGTAGTATTGTAGCTTTAGTATTGTAGCTAAACAATTAGATTTTTACAAAATTGTAAGTTTTGGGTTTGTTGAAGAATTAGAACTACAATTTAAAAATTGGCGCCGGGAGGCACGTACAGCCGCCCATACTAAAATATGTTAATATCTCGAAAACTGCGACTTTGACTGATTTTGATGTTATTACAAAGTTTGTTGCAAATATTATTTCTAATCTTAAATTGAAAACCGCGTTTCGCTAGCTACTGTAATTTTGGAGTTATGATTTTTTTAAATTTTTAACCCCCTCCCATACCCCCTTACCAACCCCCCACCCCCACCAAAAACTAATGGCCAGATTCTGGGGTACCACAGTATTTTTGTGCCAAATTTGGTTAAAATCGGTTAACCGGTTTTTGAGTTATCGTGTTACAGACGGACAGACAGACAGACAGACAGACAGACGGACAGACAGACAGACAGACACCATAAAAATATTTTGTATTTAGGTCATTTATGACCCAAATAACTCATTTTGAGTGATATTAAAAAAACTTTTTTTTGTCGATCCTAATAGCCTACTATATCTATTGGTATGGTCGGCTAAAAATGTTTTTACAAGGTACAGAGTGTCCCATAATAAGTAAGAACTATTATAGTTGTATTTTTTTTAAATGGAACTCCCTGTATATTACCTTATCTATAGGGTATCCAAAAATTTATATTAAATAATTACTAGCTTTAAACGACAATAACTTGTTTAATTTAAATGGAACACCCTATATATTTTACGTGAATCAGATGCACAATGTAATTGTCTATCAAATTGTATTATAGGTACCATTTTTTACCTAATTCTTCAAGTTTTCGTAGAAAATGCATTTTCTTATAATTTAGACCGCATTTATAACTATACCCATGGAATATTTACATTTTAGATTATTTTTAAAGATGTAACAAATTTTCAAAGAGTATAGATACTAACATTGTCGATATAATTCGCTTATTTCATTAAAAAAAAAGGTTAAATATTTTTTTGTTAAAGGGGACCAATTAATATGATCCCGATATTCAAACTACATTAATTGACTGTTAACGTTGATTAATAATAATTAATTACTCCAAATACTAAAAAACTTAATTTTGTTTGTGTATTAGACAGTGTGCTAAAAGTAAGACATTATAAATTTTATTTCATTTTTTGACGAATGCTTATTTATAAAAAGAGTGACTTATTATTATATTGATTTCTGAGCCAAATCCACATTTATTTAGAATACTTTATTAATTAAAACAATTTAAAAGTATGTAATTAATTTTTGGTCGAAAATAATGGTGGTATATTATTTAATTGGTATACTCTTTTACAAAGATTTAAATAGTTTTTTTTGTATACCTGGGCTTGCAGTAATGGGTTTGCAATATTTACCACCTGTACATTTTGTACATATACATATGTTGCTTTCAAAAAATCTGAAATGTCAATATTCCATGGGTATATTGATAAATGAGGTTTAAATTATAAGAAAATGTCTATAAGGTCAAGGAAACACAATGACCCAATTGATCTTGATCTTATATTGAACCCTTGACCTTCATCCAGCTATTTTAAATATTGAGTTTTGGTATTTCTGTAATGTTTTTGAAATTGTACCCATGTCAGAATAAGCCACTACTTAGGTTCACGCGTGGAAAAAATCCTCTTTAGCTGAAAATTGCCGTGATAAAGACGAGAATATACCTTGAAACAAAGACAATTTAAAAAAAAGCGTTTTTAACTTTCTGGTTCGAAACCTGCTAACGCCATTTTATACCGGGTGGTGTATCGTCGTTGGAAACAGGAAATTCCATG